ACACAAACCCCCATGTGTTGAGAAGAAGTGTAGCTGTGTCCAGCACATCCAGTTCCCTGGCCTTATCTTCAATTCATTCACCATGCATCATCTATACACATAACTGCACTGTAAGCTATGATTCAGTGCACTATTCTTATCATAGCCCAGGCGCAGTGATGTTCTGAGGCATGCTGGTGCAGTGACCCCCCTCGCCTGTTCCTCCAATAAGCATAACCATATCTGACAAGGCCAGAGCTATTGAAGGAGGGGAGATTCTCGCCTCCTTTAGATAGCTTTCCACCCTTCTGTTCTCTTGGCTTATTTCCAACGACACTCTGTGGCCCAAATCTCCTCCTTCTTCCTCTCTTATTTGAAATGTAGCCGATTTATTTTTTCATATTGTTTGCTCAACCGTTTCTTTTTGCCCCTTTTATTTACATCCCAGGGCATTTAGCATCAACAGGCAGATGAGTAAACCATAACTCCAGTAGCTTCAGACGAGAAGGAATCGGATCCAGCAGAGATGAGTCGAGATATGGAGTTGCACTGTGAAGCAATTGGATGCATGTTACAGGATATAAGCCCACCAATCATTCTCTACATTCCTGTGAGAATACTTAGGGATGCTTGGAGGATTGGATACTGGACCCACACACACACACACACACACACACACACACACACACACACACACACTTGAATGAATTTCATTTACTACCCACACACTGCTTTTTTTGAGTCGATCTTGTGTCTACAGAAATAATGTGCATGCACCCATTATCTCAAGAAGGGGCCGCCAGAGCGTGAGGGGCATCTTTCGCCTGACTGACTTTCATTTACAAAGTGGCAATGTTACTTTTGTGTGGGGAAATGAGATAGCACTGCAGCAGACAGTAGGCTACATTATCCCGAGCCGGGCGCACATCCTGCTCCCTTTCTTTTTTTCCCTTTATCAGCGGCTTTTTCTCACATTGTTCATCAGCCCCCGAGACACAAAAAAGCCCGTCTCCCAGGATCAATTAGTCACTTCCAGGGAGTTGTGGAGCGGAGAGGGAGCTGAGGAGACAAAAGCCACGGCCATGTTGGCGTCGCAGCGAGGTGATAAAGTGACATGGTCTTCCTTCCAGGCCATTAACGTGACAAGCACTCCTTGTCCGGGGAAGGTGGACCTGACAGCAGAGTGGTGCCCCGCCAGGGCATGAAGAGAGCTCTCAAAAGAGCAGTCGCTTTCTTTGACACACTTTTTCCCCCCTGTATCTTTACTCCCTTCTCTCTCTCCAGCTGTTTTCATTCAGTCGGCCTGCTCTCTCTTTCTCTCTCTCTCTCTCTCTCTCTCTCTCTCTCTCTGTCTTTTCTAAAAACTCCATCTCTGTCCTCTCCCCGGAGCTTTTTTCCCTCTCAATCTCTCCCTCCATCCCCCTCACTTTCTTAAAAGCTGTCTCTTTCTAAAGCTCCAAAGTCATCCCCATCACCCCTCCAAATTTCTCTTCTTTCATCTTTGACTCTGCTGCAGCATCTTCTCCCTCCCTCTAGTCTTCCCTTTTTTTCCTTTTTTTTTTTTTTTTTTTACATCTTTCTATCTGAATATCGCCCATCTCATGTCTTTGTTTCGAGTCCACCTTTTCCTCTCCAGCAGCAACTCATCTACTCACTCTCTTCTTAAGGAAATCGAAGGTGACACTGGCAATGCAAAAACAGTGAGCTGGCACAGAGAGTCACAGCAGGACACAGGCCCAACAAAACACAGGAGGATAAACAGGAACTATTTTTAGGATGCTGTCGCCTGTCCTTAAGAAGCCAAAAGCAGTGTGGTTTCTGTGTACAGCAGTGAAATCAAGATATCTATCAGAGGGCAAGACTCATTGTCCTGGGGTTGTTAATGAGACGTGGGATGGATTGGATACATGTGTGTGCTGCTGGGGGCCAATTTTCATTATGTGTATTTGTATGTCGGGCGCTACAACCAGTAAGCTCGCCCCACATAAAGGTGGCATTATACTGGGCTGCACATAGGCGATCATGTAACGGTATTGTTCGGACACATTTGCTTGTGTGCTTTTTACTTTTATGGATTGACTGAGTATGAGGCAGAGTAACGTTTGACAATGTAAAGAACATGTAGAAGAAATCAGGAAACATAAATCAATTTCACCCCGCTGACAGAGTGTAAACACACCACTACATTTGTGAAAGAAATTGGATTTCTCAAATGGGTGTGACAATAACAATGAGCTTGAGGAAGAATTTAGTTTTTACTTGTGGCAGTACTGTGCTCCAATGTACACCTTAACTCTGGTAGAAGACATAGAGAAAACTATCTAACAAGATGCTGGACCCACTGTGCCAAACTTTTACATTTAGTGTACTCACTGCCCATTCCTCATTGTAAATGTATTGACATTAATTTTACATTACTTTCCGTTATGCAGAAATATTCCTGCAATTCAAGCTCATTGATCGGTTGATTCTACTCCTGACCCGAAGGCCAAAACAAAGTCTAAAATAAACAAAACTTACTACATACAAGGATAAAAGGAAACGCCACCTCAGCTCATCCGAGTGACCCCTGTTCACATTTGCCTCTAAGTGCATTCCAGAGAAGTACAAGTCTAGATTAAGAGCAAACAAGCAGACACCCCTGAGTTATTTTAAGTCAAAATAATTACAACACAAATGCAGCTTTGGAAGTTAAAAACTATTTTTGATAAAGCAGCTTTTACTAGTAATTTTAAGTGATACTAACTTTGGTAAGTTACAGAAACATTCCTGATTGAGTACTTATAACTAGGTATTTTGTTTTTACAGTACAAATAAAAATGAAGCACCACTTTAAATTACTCAAGCTAAAGGAATGTTTTTTCAAAGTACAAAAGTTAGTTTTGCTTAAAGCTTTCAATGTAATCAGCTTCAACATTTCTTTTGAGTTAAATTAACTTATCTGGTTTTACAGTGTTGATGGAGCATTACTGGGATTAGTAAATGTTTTAAATTGTAATACCATGGACACAAATAATGAATGTATCAGTGTAACCCATTATGTAACCATCCAACACTGTTTACATCACAACTAACCATTTAAACCAAGCTGGTCTGTTGTGGACATTTATGTGTTTTTTCATGTTTTGCTCCATTTACATTATAGTGGAGTACCATAGTGCAGACTTTTCCAATCAATCTGTGCTTAAACTACATTATCACACAATTTTATAATCACACTGAGGCAAAATAAGACTAATGTTCTTAATTATATTACACATCTCAAGCAAGCTTCATGAGTGTGTTAATTTATTATATGGTGCAGAAATTAAGCAGTGGCTTCCTGGAACTATGGGAGATAAAATGTAAAAGTGTATAATATTAGATCACATGTAATTCATTTGGAAGATGCATTTTGTTCAAAGTGACTCACAATAAGTGCATTCAACCTCCATTGGAGCAAGAGCTGGATGGCATCAACCTATGAGGGTGCACTTGAAACGTCAAACATTTAAAACACACTGGCATTTTTCTTGAAGCATTCCCCATTTTTTCAGTGATCCTTCTGTCAGTCATTTCACATCATAACATGTGTTCTGCCCTATAAATATTGTCACAAGGTCAAAGAAACAAATAAAATGTGGGTAAACTGAGTGTAAGTGGCTTTATATCATTGTTACTGAAAGAACTCTGATCAAACCCAGACAAGCATACCAAGAATACCATTCTAACTGTGGTTTTTGGACCCACCATCAGTTGGATTTGCCCACTGAATTGTGGTGAGTTTGAGCTGCTAAAACTGTTTGGATACAAGGGTGTTTATCCATCACTCACTGTGAGTTTGGCCACTGAGTCATTTTCAAATCTTTTCTGCTTGGCTGTCATTTGGTCCACAGTGTTTGGGGGGGGGGGGAATCTGCCCTTTTAAATGTGCTTTATGTGTGTTGCATCAATCAGTGTGAAACGTCTATGGATGTGAGGTATGCGTGTATGCATGGACAGGCTTTATTTGCAATGGCCCATCACACACTTATTCTCAATTGGGGAAATTGGTTGAACAGGGAACAAATCTTTCAACTTGTTAATTCTGCTTGGCGTGTTCACCTCAGTGAATAAAAAAACTCTGTTATTTCTGCTTTCATGGGATTTATTCAGCGCGTAACTATTCTACGCCCGTGGCATTGGTCTTCACAACGTGTGAAGTGAAGAGAAGGAAGAAGGAGTGACACACAAACACTGCCCCCACCCTCTACGTCTCCTCCTATCAGCCTCACTTCCTGGACGAATCCACCGCTGAGTTTGACCCTGCCATACTTCCCCCCCCATAGAAGCCTGTGGCATGACCTGCTAAAGGTACATTACATCACGATTACTGTGACCTCTTTCTGGGAATATGGAGGTTTTGCAGTGTATTTTTCCCCATTTTCTTGGTTTATTTGGTCATCACATGTGCTGTGGTTGAATGACAGCCTTAGGTGTGAAAACTGACTCTCCCAAATGATTCCCAAATCAAAACCAAGGCCAGGGTCAAAGATTTTGTTTAGACTAACCATCTTTGAACATTTCTCTGTTTTGAGTTCAACTTGCAAGACCTAGACCATTTAATAAATAATAAAATAACTAATCTGACAATGCAAATAAACCGACAGAGATTATGGCAAAGCGGCCTACCAGCAACATAACTTCCACTAGCTGAAACACCATAGGTATATTGGTGATACACACATTGCATCAAATACCAGCATGTCACACAATAGCATATCAAAATAATGAATTATCTGCCACTGCTTACTAGATAAAAGCTTTGCCTTTTCACAATATCAGCCAGATGAACATGGTAAAGTCCAAACCTCTTTCTGAACATGACAACAGTCTAAACAGTGATCATCCAGAACTTTGTACAGGCATGATTGCACTGTTGTAGAGGAAGAGAATAGAACTCCATCAACCCTCACCCTGCATTTTTTCAGCCCAACCTAGCTTTGGCTGCAATGATCCATTCAAATGAATGAGAGTGTTCTTTCATGCAGAGCTAAAGTTGTGCTGGATGTCAAACAGTTTTTCTTTCACTTCCAGTTTATTGGGATAAAGACAGAAATTTCATAAACACGTCTCCAAACCTGTCAATCTGTATGGCTTTATTAATACAGCTTCAGAAGTGGTAAGTGAGAAAAAGTGCTTATTTTTGGTCATTTTGATGAACTGACCCTTTAATGAGCGATTCAGCTCAGCCTTAGTCAGATAAAGCTTTGGGTCTTGAGGCTCTGATGTCAAGCTGTTCAGCTGCAGTAGAAATGAACACATACTGTGGATGCCGACACTTTCTGACACTTTTCCTCCAAACTACTCCACGGGGCAACCGAAGCCTGGGTAAGCTGCTTACATTTGTAGTTGTTCATTGGCTGCTGTAAAAAAAAAAAAAAATCCCTTTTATTGTTGGTATTCAACTTCACGCTCTTGACTGACAGCAAATTCATTGCTAAAGGTGGTCACCACACTGGCACAATACTGCATTCAACAGCACTGATGGCAAATTCCTCTGCTAACTTCTCTTCACCATTACCCAATACAGTACATACACACACACATATACACTCTGTCTCCTCCGCCCCCTTTACGCTGCCGTGACAGCTTTGTCACAAAGATGAATTCATCGTCAGCACTGCAGCCAAAACAAGTAATTTGATTGCCCCGACCACAAATTAAGTTAGTGTGATTCAATTTTCGATTTGGGCTTCTCCTGCAGCCATACATCAAGGGAGACATATTTCATTACACAGCGAAACCACAGGCGAGCAGGCAGCGGTGTCCCACTCCCTCCATAGGAAGACATCATGTGAGCATTATGGCATTTACTCGATACTGCTGCAGGTCCAGTAAGGCCGGTGGTGGCGTTGGTGCCATCGGTGGGCTTGTTATCCACAGGGCAGCACAGCCGCGTACTGTACAGCCAACATATTTAGCTTGTTTAGATCCCTGCAAGCCAAACTGTGACAACGTGCTGGGAGTCCTTGCTGAGAAGAAAGAAATCACATTAGACTGGTGCAGAATTCAAGGTTTTTATTTCACCTGAAGACTATTGGAGTAAACCATCAGGGTACCTTTGCGACATGCCCCCACCATTTTTAGGATCGCCAGTCCCTTTAATTTGACTGGCGGTACATGTTAATTCAAAAGTCTTTGCCAATTAAATAGCATCAAAAAAGAACATTGTATTGCTTTTTAGCTTTTAGGAGCCTAAATCCTATGGTCAGTCAGGCAAACAATTATTTTATGTCATTGCCAAACAGTCAGAAACGTTATATAGAGAATGAAAGAAATAGGGATTGATGAGAGTCCAGAACAGTTTTTAGCTCCACTTCCTACCTTTTACTTTCTGCTCCTGGTGGTCTTTTGAGTGCACAGACTCAATTCTAAAAGCATGTGTTTTATGGTAGGGCCATTATTATAACAGTAGTACTTTAATTACACCGTCACTAAAGTTCTTTTCTCATTCGCCTCTACAGGCACAATCGGCACACAGGTCATTTAGTCAGTAACATCATTAAGTGACCTCTGATGAAGTGTTTGCCACAGACATACATGTATTGACTGGCCGGGTCCTACAGTTTACCATGTTCATTCTCTCTGCGGATGGCCTGAAGCTACAGATCTCTTCTGTCTTCTGTCTTTGGGGAAATAAAGAAAATCCCAGTACACCACATTGTTTTTTTTATGTTGAAAGTGAATACTGTGAGGCAACAGCTTTTAGGCATGGTCCCACAGGCCACTGATGTCACTGACAAGCTCTTCCTCCTCCGTCAGCAGGTGTGCTTATAAGTGGAATCACCTGGTTGAATGAAATACCTGCACGCTCATGCTTTACAGGAAGTGTTCTCATCTTCTCCCTTGTTAGGATTCTGATACAATCACACATCTCCTACTTTCTCACCCTCCTCTGCGTATTATCATCCTCCTCCTTAAGGTTTCTTCCTGTGTTCTTGTCTACTAAATGGGTTTGAAGACAGAGTGCTCAATCAGTGACTGCTTCCTCCTCCTCCTCCTCCCCTTTCCCTCACCCCCTCACAATGAAGCCAAGAGCTTTCTAATTAAACTGCAGGCTGTTCTTCTGGGTAACCAGAGTTTGAAAGCTGTGAAGTGAATATGCACCACTTGGCCATTAATTCAAATGAATATCACTGAGTAGTGCAGAAACGTGCCCCTAGTTTAGCTTTTTTTTAAACGTTATCGACAGCAGACTTTGTCCCGGTGTAGATTGTTGTTGTACTTTACAAATTACCTTCCTGTTATATTCATGAAGTACAAGAGAAAAATGTCTTTGAAGTAATGGGCTGTGATCAAACGCTCAGACAGATTAGAACTGAAAGAATTTGATGATCCTGGTATTGTCCAGTACAGAAATGTGCTCAGTAAGAAATGGCGTTGTTGTAGAGTACAAGAGAAACTTTCTTGGCTCATAACTCAACCTCTTTTAATTTCATTTGAGACTTGCAGCATTAAAAAAGATCTGTGATTGATTTTCCAGTATGACGGCAAGTCAGCCTGACCTGAAACAACAGTATGTAGTATTTCAAATGCAAATAATTGTCAATGACAGACACATTTGTGATGTATTTCAGCTGCAACTGTCTGCAGATACTGTATAGTAAGGGGAAGCTTGTCTTGTACTGTATTTTTAGAGCATGTTTATACATGAATATAGTGCATCCCAGTCTATCAAGGTAGTTGAAGTTTATAAACAGAAATCCTTTGCTTTTTATTGATGGTGGAGTTCTTCTGGCCTCTTCAACTTCTGTACTGGTCAGCACCACAAACTTTGCCATCATTGTTCAAAAGTGGATTGCTCCCTCGAGATCTTGTGAAAATTGTGTATATCTCAAGGTCTTGCTTGCAGGGCGGACTACAAGAGAATGTCAGGGTTATTTTTCTGGATTATCAAGGTGAAGAGGGAGCTGAACCTGAGTCTTTACCAGTCAATTGATATTTCAAACTTCTCTTATGTTCATGCTGCTTCTGGTAGTGCGATTTCAAATTGTTAGACACGGTCAGAGTTTCCTTCACAGGGTGGGTGTGACCTGAAGCATATTATTGCACCAAAAATGTGAAGTTTCTTCTTTTCCTTAAGTATTTTTTTTCTGACTTAGGCACATAACTACAATTGTCCAATTGCTCCTGTCCATTTGAGGTCAGTAATGTATTCAAGTATTCTAAACAAAAACAGCCCTGTGTTAAAACAATGCAAGGGCCTACGTTTGTACTGGTGAGACATGAAATATATATATGCGCCCAGACTTTGCCAAAAGTTTAGCATGGGTCAACATTTTTGCCAGATGATTTATTTTTTTGCTGCAGCCCTCTGCATCAATATCCCCACTGTGTTACCGGGGCTCACATCTTCAAAAGAATAAGGGCCACGTTTTTTCACACAGGGCTAAAGCTGGTCTGAACAAGGCCTTAGGGACATAGTGTTAGAGATGAGTTGAAGAGCTCAGATAGCAAGTGGAATCCCAGAATTCATTCTCTCTCATGTTGAAAGAAGCTAGCTGAGGTGGTTCAGGCATCTTAAGGTGCCTTCATGGGACGCCTCCCCTTGTAAGTATTCTGGGAATGTCCACCTGGGAGGAGAGCCCAGGTGCAAGCACAACTCACTTGAGGAAACCATACGTCCTATCTGACCTGGAAACCCTTCAAGATGTCTCGGGAGGACCTACTTAGTCCTGTGCAAGCCTGTGAAAACATATGACTGGATAATTTTGATGTAGTGCAGGTAAATGTCATCGACTAAGAGAGTTCATTAACCAGTTAAATGTGTAAATACATGTACATTAGATGGACTTTATCTCTTTTGGTTTCGGCAGTGCCCTTGTGGGAAATTAAACAGGACAATAAATTACCACTGTGGTCTCTGCCTTGTAGTCTCTCCCTACAGGGATGCTGCAAGTAAGCCTGGGCCCCATGGAAACTGCTCTCTTGGGGCCCTGAAATAGAGCATATCTATAATCCCTGGCAACCAAATCCACATGTAGGGACCCTCGAAATGGATAAAAATATTCCCTGGAGAAAATTTGCATATAAAGATGCCACAAACTGTTTCTTTAAAGAAAATTCAAAAGGGCATGGCAGTTTAGTAGGCGCTTAACAAACCCTATAAGAAAAACGTCCTTCTCTTTGTCTGCCGAGTCTATCAATTCACATTTTCCTTTTTGTCCTCCACAATTGAAATGATCCCTCACGGCGTTGTGTCTTCAAGGCTGGCTGCTCAGGTATAGTGGAGATATGCTGCCTGTCTTGTGACGCAGGTTTCATTTGTGCACCGTGCAGGATGGAGAGGCACTCCAGAGACAGACAGAGGAGGAGGAGGGAGAGGGAAGCAGTGACAGAAACGTCCACCAAGCATGGACTGTTTCTGGCAAATGAGAATCTGTTGTGCCTCCCTCTTCATCCAGATGCCAGGGCTGTGGGATTCCAAATTACGGCTGTAAATTTTGCACAACTGCCTCACGCTTGATTATCCCCGATCTGAGTTTTTGCTCTCCTTTTTCATTGCTGCTCTTTGTGCCTCCTTTCATTTTGTCTGTTTTACTTTCTTTCTCTCTTTCTCTTCTGGCTGCTCTTTCATTTCTTTCTCTGTGCATTTATGTCCTTTTGTCGTTTTCTTTCTCCTTTTATTGGTATGGTCTTTATCACTTAAGAAATACAATTATTCAAATGTTAGTGGATTTACATTTATTACTCTAATTTAGGATTTAATTATCCTTTAAATGCACCCTCGATTTTTAAAATAGCAGCATGTCTTTTGGATATTCACCCCTTCCTACATTTCTTTTGTAGCATCTTGCTTCCATTAGTCTCCCAAACCCTGAATGGACAGTCCATTTTCTGGTGGTTATTCATTGCCTCCGATGGAGGATGAAGGCCAGACATTTCTTGCAATGTTACCAACTTGAAATTCTCATCCTCTCATTTGTGTCTAGACATTGGCAAGATCTTGTGGCTTACTTCCTCATGTGGTCTTAATGCTTTAATATTTCATGCAGTTCAAGGCCTTCTTTGTAATCTGCAGGCACAGCACTTTTCTGGACAGTATTTGAATTATGTGCCTGCTGGCCATTCTCTGATTCAAGCAGGAAGCCGTTTCCATTAAAAGAAATAGGGGTCACTTGTCATAATGGTGGAACACTTCTTTTCTAAATGGATGCTAAGATTAGCTCTTCTGTAAGAGGATGAGTCATTATAATCACTATGCAAAGTAAAGGAAGCAGCCATTTGACATTTAAGTGGACAGCGCTGTGATTCCAACAACAATGGAGCAGGAGCTCCTGAGGGAGGTGAAATGAACATGAATGGCCGATGTCAGGATGGCAAAATTTTCCACCAATTCCAATTAAATGTTCTTTTTTGGTAGACGCATTGACTGCTCCTCCATAAAATGTTAATGTGCGCTGCTGAGAGCAAGACAACATGAGGGGAAGCGTCAGAGACAAGACCGCTGTTCCAGGACCGTGGAGTCACTTTGCCTCCGACTGCTTGACAAGCAAACACAAACTTCCTGCTGTGGCTGTGTGCCTGGCTGGCTGCCACACTATAGTTTAACTCCATGGCTGAAAATAAACAAAATAATTACACTGGGCTAGAAGTACACTTTTGGTGAAAGATGTTTGTTTTAGAAACGTAACCTTCACATTGTATCTACCTGTGATAAAATCCCACTTTTTAAAGGGCATGTTCACCCAAAGTTTATTTTGTTAGATTTATTTGAAGCTTTTTTTTTTTTTTTTTTGCTGTCTGAAATTTCTGCCTCGACTCCAATACAGTGGAGGTGAATGATATTACCCACAGCCAGTCTACAGCCATGCTAGAAGCTCTGTTAGTTAGCTACAACCTGCAAGATGAGGTTCAAGTGACGGCAGTAGCCACCGCTGGCATGGTAACTAATCTGTTAGCAACTAGCATATTTACTTTTACTGCTATTATTCCAATTTTAATTTTCAGGCTGTGGGATTTGCAATGTTTTACGAGTTCTAATTTTAAAAAGCATGTTACAATGGATGGATATGGTTCGGTAGGAAGGGATGACTGAAAATGGCATTTTGTTGGACATTCTTCAGGTGGTGGCAGAAATCTCAGAGACAGAAGGATCAAACTAAAACTATCTGCATGGCTGAATACCACTATATAACCACTATGAAGCAGAACATATTTTATTTTTTATAATTTTACATTACAATGACACACTCTACTGTGATGAACCTCTCTCTCACTGTTGAGAGTACAAGGTTAAGCTTTGTAGATCAGAGGTAACTACTGAGGTTCCTGCTACAGGGTGTTGAACAGCACAGTGCAGTTTCCCTCACATTATTGTTTTATGATATTAATATTTGACTACCACAAACTCAAGTAGCAGATTTGGCAGCTTTGATTCAGCTCATGTCAACCTAAAAAGATGACCCATGAGACATCTCACGCTATACTTTTCCCACTCCCCCTCTCCGTCTCCCTCAAAGTGCAATTTCAGGAGCACAGATTAAATTACTGCCTATCATTTCAACAGCTCATACATAGACAGATAGCTTTTAAATTGCTGTAGAAAATCAGAAAGATCATCAAAAGCGTTCCTTGTAATTCACTCTTTTACCAGTGACATGATACAGTGTAACCAATAAATTTTACTTGTTACAGGAAGTCTGAAGGAGAGAGGGAGAGGGAGAGAGGGAGGGAGAGAGAGAGCGAGAGCGAGAGCGAGAGAGAGAGAGAGAGCGCGCTTACCTGCTGGCTACTCCCGCTGTGGAGGAAATGTAGTCCTGTCTTTGGTAGAAGGATATTAAAATTGAATTTCTGTGTGACAGTCTGAGTGACTTGTGCTACAGTGATGACACAAGCATTAAGTCTCTCCTGAAAATTGTAGTTTGCAATCGCAACAACTAATGCAAATTTAACCAATCCCTGTGAATCCTGCACGACCTTGCAATTTTGACCTGTCACCACAAATTTTCAATTTCCTGCACAAAACACTGGGCCACATTTCAAACAATGCAATTTAATTCTAACCTGAACAACGTAACAACTTTTGTAAGTTTTACTTTCTCTCACAATTTCATTACAAGATCCTGAAGGGACTGAGCATTGTGACGGTGACATTTTATCTTAATGCAGCTATCTGAAAGAATAATTCTGTCTTTTCACACCTTGGGTCTTGGTCAAGAATGAACATTTATGCTCATTCTTGACCTTGGAAATAGACAAAATCACAAAATAATCTTAACTCGAGGTTAACTCCAATTTACTTGCTTTTTCTGAGCTTTTCACCACGACTCACCTTTTTCATCTTCATTACAACTGAACAAACACCATCTGCTGATGAACACAATGAGAAACAAATAGTCTTCATTAGGTTTTAAACAAACCCCAAGGTAAGCCAGACTTATTTACAGGGTGCCATACCATTATTACGACGGCCCATTATTATGATTCCCATCTAACCAACCATCTACCCCTAATCCTAACAAAGCAACAAAGAGTAGCCAATCAGGGGGCCATCAGAACAATGGGCAGTGTCCTGATCGGCAGAGGGTAAAATGATTAGACACTAACTGTCCATTGTACAGTTTCCAGACTCTCTCATGGTTTCACTTTGACCTACCCTGCTTACAACAGGAATCCCTCATTTTATAGTTTTCCTTGTGACTTCTGGGTGAACTAACTTTCAGTTTTACCCCCAGATAAAGTAATTTCAATAATCTGCTTGTTAACAACCTGTCTGATAATCTTACTTATTTTGTTTCATGCCCCAGTGAGTTTATGTCACCATGTTCCCATTTCTCAACAGTTACTTTGGTGAGTACAATGTATGTACAATTGTAGCCTGGTTGAAGTTTCATTGACAATACCACTTGAGCCACTTGTGTTCTCCTACAGTAAAACAATAAAACTACAAACATAAAACCAAGAAAACAAACAAAGAAAAAGGGTCTAATAAATACAAGGTAAAAGATAATAAGTCTCTTATGGCACTGCATCCCTTGTGACTCCATCACTGTTTTCCCATCCAGTCACTCCATCCGAGGCCTGCTGTCCTTACACTGCTGGTGCCGCCTAGAAAGGAGACCAAACAACAAACCTCTAGTGGGAAGCCCACTGGCCATCAGCCTGCCCACCCTTTGCCTCGCTGTACTTACTTGACATCTGGACAGCTTCCCCCGGCTCTGTGTAGCTGGGCTCGGTGGGTGTAATTTGGCCTCCATTCTTTGTGCTGCGTATTGGGCCCGGATCTCCGGCTGCTTCCCTCTGTGGGTCTCATGTCTCACTCTGTTGCTTCCTCCAGTTGTTCTGGTGCTGGCTGGTGTGTGAAGGGGAGGACAGTACTGCCACTCGGAGCCTAAAGAGCAATGCCAGATCTGCAGTCAGTTATCGCCACGGTGTATCCACACTGCTGGGTCTCTCTCTTTTGCCATGTGACCACAACACACAGCCCTCAGCTTAATTGCAACCGGCCTAACACTGCACCGCTGCTCCCCAACGCTGTTGTCCCACTCCTGAGACTTCGCAGCCAGCCTGCTCCAGCTTCCTGTTTGTCCTGCATATTTTCTGCTTTTTGCTTGCTCTGCTTTCCTCTTCATGTCTTTAAACGTATTGGCCCCACCCCCTTAATTACCTGCACAGGTGTGTCTCATTTTGCTGATGTCTGTGATCAAGACAAAATCACAACAGAAACTACACACAGAATTCAACACGCACGAACTAAACAAACTTATAAATAAATAATAAAAATTTACATCCAAAGCAAAATAAGCAATATGAGATAATGCAAACAACTCCAAACACAGCAACCTACAGGAATAGCTACAAGCTATAAAAATAAAACCCAAGTTGTAATAAACCAGATATCCTTTAACATTCTGGCATTTAACAATAAGTTCACCATCATGCAAATTCCTCCTGTTTAAAGACGTCACGACTTCTAAATCCTCTGCAAAGAAAGTTCGTTGATGGCTTCTGCAGCCGCAACTTAACCATGCAAGCCTCTTTTCTTGCCTGCCCTACATTCTGCAGCCATATTGTTTGCATTCAAAGGCAGTGCCCACACAGCTGGAGGATAAGCCAAGTCTCTCGGCAGATAAAGTACGGCGCCATTGGCTGCTGCACCCTCTTTTCATTTCCCTCTGTCTGCTGGGGTGTCAGAGGCTCCTGGCCACAGCTGGAAGATGAATAGTGCTGCACCACTCCACTTTGTCATGGTGTCCAAGAAGGCTCTAAATGGCATTGAGAGACTCTCAGGCTCTCACAAATGGGATCTCTGCAGCCCTGTGTAACCTTGTATGCACGGAACAGCCTGAATCTTTAAAGTTGTCTGATACAAACATTCCCAAGAGATTTCAAATCCCTTGTGGGTTGCTGTTGCTTGCTTAGAATACAGGCACTTTCATGCCACAATTGTATGTAATAAAACAGGCTCAATTCTCTGTCATTTCATTAGACTTTTAAAATTGTTTAGAGAGGGATATGATAATTGAGGGCAAATAATCTACAACATCACTATCCGTAACCCAGCCTTGCATAATCATGTTTTTCAGATCATGTATGCCTGTGATGACACATGCGTGTGCTGTATTTATCTGTCTGTACATGTGCAAGGCCACATATGTGCACGAATTGCCTTGCAGTGCTTGGGCTGGAGAGACACAGATAACAAAAATCTTCCAGCACTGCTTCCTCTCTGTTCAGTTTGGTTGTTCCTACACCAGGGGCAACAACACCTACTTGCTCTGTCTCGCTGTTCTCATGGAAACGCATCAAAGCAGCTGAAAGATAGACAGAAACTGAGAGGGGGGGGGAAACAAGCCTGAGATACTTTGTTACTATACCGTTGCACTCTTGATTGTCCCTGTTGCTTTTCTCGGCAGTGACAGAAAGCCCTGTCACACATCTCTTTCCCCTTCTGTTGGAGGTGAAGACCAAAGGGTAAAACAGTGTCTAGGTGCTGTTGCACTGTGTTGAAATTCAAGGCACCCAAGTCACCCACTCAAACCAACACAAACTGCACACTTTTGTAGGTTTCAGGGTATGCCTATACATATTTCAGTGGTTTGAAGGTATTCCTCCATGTTGAGTTTCCCCTGTGTGATGAAAGCAGGGCTGACACGTTAGAGAGCCCAGGGCCTGGGAAGTTTGGAACCAAGATTAAACCAGAGACGCCCGTAGGCCTACAGGCGATGATTAAAACAGCTCCCATTAAAAGCAGCCTTGATGGAAATCCAAAGTGGCATGTCTCTATGGGGAAGAGATGGGCAGAGGATGCATTCATGGCTGCCTTATAGACATAAGGCGGTAAATGTTCTAGGGTTGAATGTTAGTGATAGTGGGACATATGCAGTAGCAACTACTGCTGACTGTCACAACAGCTCCTCCACTACAAATAAGATACCAGAACAAGACTATAGCTGGTAGGATGAAGCACTAAACTGTATAAATGATGGCTGATTTTGCGGTTGAGGTTGTTCAGTCCCTGGAAATTCCAGAGCTCAAAGGAAACTTTCTCTCAAGAGCAGTGTTGATATCTGGATATTTCCACCTCCAGTGACATGATGCCAAACCAAGTGTCTTCCGTCTTCATGAGCCTGCCTCATAACCAGCTATACCTGGGAATAACCCACAATGCATAGTGATCTGACAGCGACACTCCCCCACACCCTCCTGCAATTAGACACTAACAGTAATGTCAATAGTGACCTCAATGTGCCATTATACTGTTATTGCCACTTGAGGACAATAGAGGCAATTCCAAGAAAACCCCCAAGGTATGTTCAGCAAAACATACTCTTAGCAGAGAGCTTATCCCACCTTTACTTGTTTTTTTGTTTAAAGATCCAGTGTGTTGGATTTAGTGGTGTAGTTACAGATTGCAACTCCCCGTTTCAACCCGAGTGTTTGATTTGTCCGTTCTGGGCGAGTGTAGAAACATGGCGGTTCAACAGGACAAACTCAATTGAAGGTGACCTGCAGCATCTGTAGATAAAAACAGCTGATTCTAAGGTAAAAAAATACATAACAATTCCTGTATTGAGTTGATTATACACTAATGAAACATAAACATGCATATTATATTCCATTTCTGCCAATAGATCCTCCTAAATGTTACACATTAGTAATTTCTGGAGTTTTTTAATTTACTTATCAGATGAGATTTGGCATGCTCAAGGTCATATGGTTGATCAGTCTTATTTTTGTTCTTTTTTATGTTCATTTACAGGATTGGATTTACTGGATTCCATTTGATGTACCGTTTCCATTTGGTATAGTTGAATTTGTTTAATTCACCTACAAGTTTTACTTTTTGCTCAAATTATTGTCATTTTTTCTCTTTTATGGACATAGAATACTTTAGTTCCAATTAATCCAACAAAACAACTATAGATACCATACCTCTCCACATGTTTCAATGGACAGAGGAGCTATGACTTTGGGAAGGAGACAAAATGAACAAAAATGAGGAGGCGGTCCAAAGGGGAGTGAAAATGACCCAGGGAAAATTCCCTTTATTACTCGCCATAGTTGATGCTGCTGGTGTGTAATAGCAGTAAGGCAAATTGAGGTTGGGAAGCTCTAAGTGCAAAAGAAAAATCCCTGTTCATCGCTGACATTTTCGGTATTAATTCAGACAGAAAAAATTTGCACACATACCCGTGTGAATCCTCTCCTCCCAGCGCTGGTGGGAGAGCTTAAACCAAGAGGCCCAGTACAGGAACAATAGATCTTTGGCAGCGTGCCGAGTTCAGCCGTTGAAAGTGTTTAACTGAACGGTTCCTCTCAGCACCGACGATATGGAGCATGAAGATGAAGGCTATCATATGATCCAGACTATAGAGGAAAGTGTTCCATCAGGAGGAGGTCCTTCGGTTTGTTTGGCAGCGAGTTCATTAATTCCACTTAGTGTGAAGAGCAAGAGGAAGTAGCTTCACACCGTTGACTGCAAAAAAAAAAAAAAAGAAAAGAGTCAAAGAGAGTAATAAAAGAAGAAAATACTTTTCTGGCATTTTCCATGCTGTGTTCAACAAAAAAGACTTTGACATGTTTTTTTTTGACATGACATCGATCTCCATCAGACACTGTTCTCCCCTTTTGCTCAACAGGGCCACAATTGGATCTATGTTACTTGATATAAAGTTTTATATTTGAGGGAGATTAGATGTGTACAGCTGGATGATGAACAGAAAACTGAGGACATAACATGGTATCTTCAACTCTATCATCAGAAGCAGCACAAATAACTATTGAGACAGCGAGGCTACGGAGAAATCCGCGATCAGTTATTTTTAGACATACTATGACTATAACTGGTACTTAGTAAACTGCTAGCAAAGTTTGTTGTGGGATTAAAAGTCCCACCTTGGAGGATTTAATTAGCGCTTTGAATAAATAACATTTCACCCATTTCTCTCTCTGTCCTTGGTAATCAGTTCTGGGCCATTAATGTGAGGATGACTATCGACTGGTGGAGCAGGCTGCTGATAATTGAATGTGTAGAGGCCATTAAACATTCCTAATCAAAAACAAACACTCCAAAGCCACAGTTCCCGCAGAACAATAAGACACAACGATAATGGAAGCATGTTTGTTGTAAACAAAAAAAAGGGGGGGAGCTCTGTATCTATGCTTGTCTACAGACTTGGTGTTTGTTTTTTATTAGGCTATCAGTGCCAACAGTTCAGAATTTGACAGGGCAGAAAATAGGCTGAATTTCTCGGGGCATGGCACCATATTGAATTTCCCAAGTTAGTGTTTTGATCCAAACAGCTGAGAGGGGAAGGACAAGAAATACACTTTGTAATTGAAACGTTCTCAGAGACTCCATTCCACATGCAAACCGGTCAGTAAATCACTAATAGTGACTATGGTGCGGTGTTGGAAATCACTGCACTTCTATTGACTCTGCACTATTGATCTGACAGGTCAGGCCCTGTTTGGCCTCTGCTTGAGCCTTGTAGACTGATGTCTGCGATAACAAAGTTTTTGCTGAGTTGAAATGGAATCTGTGTGATTAATTGTCCTGCTAGTGATTTTAATATCTTTAATTGTTCTTTACTCTCACATTTATGCTACTCCAAGAGATCACCTGTCAATCAAATAGTTTGGATACTGTAATGCTGTTTTATTGATGAGCTTTGAGATTTTATGCAGAAGTCAGACAGCTGTTACGGGTTTACATTGCTGTTAACCCTCATATCCAATTGATTCATCACGTGTATAATTGATGATCCAGTGTGCATTCTTATTCCCACAATACTACAATAAATGTTTTAATGCTTGCAAATGTTGTTATATGCAAATCTATGGATACCTATAAGGCTTTTATGGTGTGCTGAAAAGATTATTGGCCTCAGGTATTTGGAACAGGACATGTAAATGCCCTCACAAACTGGCTACGCTTAATCATTGTGTTATCAGCATATGAGACGAGCAAAACAGACATTTATTTATGTGAAAATGCCAGTGTTGATTTAACCTTGTGATTGTTTCATTAGGTATGTAGAGACACATTAATGCTGCAGCAGAATGGTTTTTTCTTGAACTGAGCCAGTGATGATCCATAGGAAGAAGCTATAAAGAAAGAAAACTCTTCAGTCTGAATCATTATGAGGAGCACGTTGCATCTTCAGTAATTACGTGAGGGACCTTGCTGTTGCACT